AGAATTGAGTAGAGTTCCCTGTGCTATATGGTAGGTTTTCATTAGTTATCTATTTTAACAAAGTACCACATATATGTCAATCCCAGTCTCTCAATTCATCCCACCCCATCCCTGTTCCCGCTTGGTATCCGTAAGTTCTTTACATCTCTGTCTCTATTTCCGCTTTTCAGATCAGTTCATCGGTACTATTTTTCTTGATTCCACATTTATGGAAGATTATACATATAAACAACCTTATATTTGTTCTCTCTTTCTGACTTACTCTGTATGACAGTCTCTAGGTCTATTCACGATAGACCTTACATCCTTCTTGACTTGGCAACTCAATGAGCACGTTATCTTTTCCTACCCTTAGTTGTGATCCTGAGATGTTCACTTTCCCCAGGTCACATCAGTGAAGGCCAGCAGGCATCCATTCTGTTCAAGTGTTTCTGTTTGTACTGTTGGGAAGTATACTCTTCCACTTGCCTGCTTTTTCATGTTAAAATCCCAGAGATTTCAGGGACCACATAGATTGCTTAGAACTGACACTTGAAAGTAGAAACCAGATTGGGAGAAGGACAGATGCTAAAGATAGCACCTGAGCCAATTGTTCCTGAAGATTTTATGTTCCTACTCTTGCAATATAAGTCCATTCCTAATCTTTAAATACATAAGCCAAAAAATACTTCCCTTTTCTTTTAAGCCAAGTCAGGGTTTCTGTCCCTCACAATATAAAGTCCTAACTTCATGAATCTCTACTTTCTCTTATAACTTGTCAGAGTATAAATTTATCATTTAATGCCAGCCTCTCTCCCTAGACTGCAGTCTCTATGAAGTATCTCATTTGTTGACTGGGGGGCATTGCCTTCCCAATGCCTATAACAGGTCTGACCCATAACTGCATAAACAATCCAAGCCAAGTATTTTCTTAGTCATGTTCCCAAACATTTTTTTTATGTGCCTGAGAGATGCCAGTTGTTTCAAGATAATATGTATATACATTGTAATGCATGTGTATGTATATAGTAGTCATCTTCATCAGAATTAAAGATTGCCCATCATCTATAATTTGAGAGATAACAAGGCCTCTTTCTTTGCTTGTAAACTTGGGCAAACTGTTTCTTTAAGCATCAGTTTGCTTACCAGTGAAAGGTGTTCACCTCAGTGCAGATACCTGTAGATAGCAGCCTCTTGGTAAGAAGAATTACTATTAGTATCAAGGAACTAACTAGATAATCGAAGGAGAAGAGGGAACACATATAGTCATTTCAAAACCGAAGTGCTTGAGTGGACAGAAGCAAAAGCCAGGGCTGCATAACACTGACGTTTTTATTAGAATTCATTTGTAACAAATGGAACTTGTGTCAGCAAAGAACTGATTTTCATACAGACTTCTTTCGCCACCAATGTAACGAAGTAAGAAAATAAAAAGCACGCCTTTCATTCTGTAAAACATTTACGCGTACTACTAATTAGAGGTAATTGTATTTTTTTAACAAGCCATTTTACAAGTTATTTTTTTAAATTTTTCAGTCTATGCATCCAAAACGAGAGCAAAGAACACAACTGTTATTATCTTTTTGTAAAGACACTCCAAGCTTGGATGGCAAAGCCACATAACAGATGGATAGGATGGATCTGTAGCCTTCTGATCTCTGCTGGAGTATCAGGGCACCCATAAACCCAAAGGAAACTAAAACCCAAAACAGGAAAAAGAAAAGATTATTAAAAATAAAAAGAAGGGCCTAAAGCAAAGCAAAACCAAAAAGAAAAAGAACAGGAAAGAAAAAAACCCATAAATTAGCACAGAATTTTTCCTTTCCTGTTTCTATGTTGAGTTATTTACATACACACAAATGAATTTCTGAAGCAGTTTCTTACAGATGGGTTCAAGTAATAACATTATTGGGTGTAGAATCAATAGGGCAGTGCATAGTACAAAGGTATAGAAAGTGCAAAGTTCCCTAGAGGCCCTTCCCTCCCCTGGCTGTCCTTGCCATTGCCTAACCATGCAAATCATTTTTAAAAAAGAGCTAAAATAAAGTTCTGTACAAATCACTTTTTATATATTTTGATTTTTTTTACCATTGTAACTAATTACAAAATTATACATAACTACACATACATAGGTAAATAATAGCACCGTACTGGTTATGATGATGAAAATAATTGAAAACTTGAAAGTTGATGGTAATGGTAGATAAAGATGTTTACCTGGGAAAATAAAGTAGAATGGTTGTACAGAAAAGCACAGTGGAATGCACATCAATGACAGTAAGGGAGTTAGTTCTCAGAACAGCTCCTAAATAGCAAGGTACCTGGAATAGTCTCCTCCTCGCTCATCTGTGGTGTGCATCCCATACATTTTCTTCCTGTGGTCATTCTCCCCGTTTCCCTTGCCACATGAGCAGTTTCAGCTTCAGGGGGAGAAACTGCTCACTGGCCAATGGTCTGGTGTGCAGTACACCATCAGATCCTTCGTGTCCAACACGGCACGTCTGCATGATGCAACATCTATCTGACCCCCTTTGTTTCACTGAATGAAAAGTATAGCACTGAGTAATCTGGCACTTGGATAATTCTCCAAAAGATACAAACTCAAAGAAAACAACGGACCCACATAGTGCACATTCTTCTCTGGTTCTGATGTAGGTTAGAGAGTCTCATTCTGAGGTAGCCTTCTAGATACTTTTTTTTTTTTTTGAAGTATTATATATTTTTTTCTTTTTTATTTCTTTTTTTCTTTTTTTTTCTCAGCTTTTTTTCCTCTTTTTTACAAAAGTGCTCAAATATGATGCTTGCAAGTGTTTGGTCTCTTGGATTTCATTCTGCCAGTGATGGGAAATGTAGAAAACAAAAATCCTTCCATGCAGAACATCAATGAAGCTAATATTAAATCGAAATATTATACCAAAACTCGAAGAGTTCCTTGAATATTTTGAGTGTTCTTTAAAATCATGTAAGATATGGCAAAGTCATGCCATTATTCATGGCTTCCTATAGAAATTGTGTCGAAAAATTTGGGGGGATATGTGTAAATATATATATATATATATATTTAATTCCTCTTTTAGAAAAATCCTAATGGAATAGTAAATATGTTCAAAGTTGACAATGGTGTTTGCGAATAAATTTGGTGCAGTTACTGAATGTTTCAGAGCAGATTTGGAAGGGATTACAAATAAAATAAGTAGCTTTTCCTGATGTTGATGGTTATGAAAGGAAGAAGGGCCCTGCTTATCCAAGTGCTTTGGGCTGGTACAATCACTAACATCCCCGACTTGGTTAAAACTAGGAATGCATATTATTCAAAGAGTTTTTGTACATGTGGTAAACAGATAATACTTTAATTGGAAGAGAAACACATATGAACAAGGAATGAAAATATGAACCAAAAGCTAAAAAGAAATGCTATTAAAATAGGCATCAATTATAAGGCACTCTAAATGCAAAACTAAAACCAAAAGAAAACAAAGTACAGCACTTCCCAGGAATGCTGTATGCCACACAAAAAAAGAAAAGTTTCTGACTGAACAGAGTAACATGAGTTTGGCTTTGCCCCTGTTACATATCATAAATGCAAATTTCATAGCACATACTATAGACAATATACGATTGAATACACTGTTTTTTAAACATCTTGATAGCTGATATATTACAACATTCTCCCCTCCTAAAGGGATATGCACTGACCTTTCCCACATGCACACCTCTTAGATATCTAATAATGTTTTATTGCACTAGAGTGTTAGAAATATTGAACTATGTTGGAAGCCTGGCTAACAAAATAGTATTTGTCATTATGATTAGGTGGGTGAGTGAGGGGTTGGGGGAGATTGGGTAGGAAATTAAGGGGGTGAGGTTTGACAATCACTGATGTGCATTCCTCATTTCCCTTAAAAATTAAAATTGTGTGATATTAAGAAATATCAGTATGTCATAAAATTAATAACAAATTGAAAAAGATGTTACAATAGCTTTTCTACCTTAAAAGATTAAAAACTAAATCATGGAAGAACTGAATGATAGCTATATCTATCTTTTTGTGTGGACAAACTGTATATATACATAGACACCCCTATAAAATATGGATATATATGTATATATGTTAGCAGCAACTTTATACTTTGCGCCTCCCTGTTGATTCCAAAAAAACAAAACAAAACAAAGTTCTCTTTGATTATTTGAAGAGAATGGGTACTTTCTCAGGAACAAAAACCAAACAGAAGTGTAAAAATAATATCAGATGAGACCAATACTGTAGATTAAGAATATTGCACAAAAATGTGCAAATTTTCAAATTATTCGGTATTTCTACAGCAAGATATTACAGATAACAGTTCTACAGCTTAAAAAAACCTACAATTTGGAAATAAAAAATGAACAGTTATGTAACTTTTTTAAAATTTCACTTTATCGAATGATACATTTTGTTAAAAAAAAAAGTTTACACAGTTAAAAATGAAGCACAGGTCAGCAGTATCTTTACAAGACTAAAAAACTAAATCAAAGACTTTCTTTTTAAACATTCCCCACCCCCTTACCCCCTACAATGTTATCATGAGTAGTATGGTGGGAAGGGGCGATGTCGAAGCAAGTCCATTTTGTCATGAGAAGCCAGCAAAGATCTTGCCCTGAGCCGCTGCACTCAGGCCATTTCTCACACCCGTCACACAATCCTGAACAAGATGGCGGTTCTTTGCTGTGATTTCTTCTTCCCTTTATTTTGAATCCTTGAGGTATCTGTAAATAAAATCCTTCAGATGCCTCCTCAGTCAGGATTCTCTTTTATTATTTTTCAGGTTAGATTATTAAACAGTGAATTCTTGGTCCACCCAGAAGAGTTTGTTGTTTTGTGTTTTTGTTTTTTTTTTTAATTTGTTTTGTGTGTGATAGTCCCACTAAGTGGTTGTTAGCTAGAAGTTAAGAAGGACTTCTCAAGTGCCCTGTATGGCTCAGAAGAGACTCCATGGATATTGAAGGGCCTGCAGTAAAAATCCAAAGTGGGTCACGGGTTTCTACGTTGCATAGTGATCGAAGCTGCCCAGGTACTCTAGCGCGGCTCGATAGCAGAACTGATACTGATCCTGCAGGAGACAAGGCATGGGCGGGGGGGAAGGAAAGGGGCCATGAGTCCATTATAACAGAAAATGGAAATCGATGTTGGAAGACAAAGTTACATCTAGTGGAGGGCAAAATCACTACTTTCGCCAATCAATTCAACCTAATGACCAACTGTTTTCTTTTAAGCAAAGAACCATTAGCCACACAGCTATTTATTAACTCTACCAATCAATTTGCCTAAAATAGTCTCCTAATCCCAAAGTAGTGACAGCTCTTGTGAAGATTATCTTCCAGACATATGTGAACTGTTGTCCAAGTAGTACCAGACAATACCACCAACTGAACATGTGAACTCCTCATATGTCACAGCTGTCGTTTATAATTATCTAATTATTTGTGATAAGTAATTCTCAGTTTGCATATTTAAGAGAGGCTGATGCAGATACACATTGTCCAGAGAAAACTATGGGTTCATTTATTTTCTGGGCTATTGCCAAAAACATCTAAATTAAAAAAAAAAAAAATCTTATCAGACAGTAGTCCTTATTGCCTGCAATCGGAATTACTCACTGTTGTTTCTGATGCGCTTATGTAAGTGAGAGAGGCAGCCAGAAGGTATCTTTGTGATGAATATCAGGCATATAAAGCTGAATACACAGGGTGCTGAACTGTCAAGCTTTTCATCACTTGAAAATGGCATCATAAGACTGGCTGCCCAAGTCAAAAAATACTTGTGCCATTTGGCCTAATTCAGTGTGATTGCTAGTTGTCTGTTCTAGAAAGACCTACACTAAACTAAAACAGTATGAAACATGTCCTTTTATAGACAGGGAAGAACACTGTCAAATTGGAGTAAGTGCGGGCATTATAAGATGGAAAAATTATAATTTATAGATGAGAAGGGATGACAAAAAGTAGGATTTTCCCATAAAAGAAACTTATTTTCAGTAGCCAATGGGGCTGAAAGCAGATAGTTTCTATTTTGCTTAAATGTGCATTTTTCTACAATAAAAATGGTAATGCAAAATAAATGGAGTTTGCTTTCCTATCTTGTCACAGTAAGTTGCTTGGCTAAGTGTTAAGGCTTTTTAAAAGTCCAATTTCCCTCTGTCACCCCCAATACCTATTAAGTTTGTCAGGCTGACATAATGTTTTGGGTATTGCAAGCCAAATGCTTGCACTATTTTCAAATCAAAGTCTGGAATATACTGTGGGTGATGAATTTAGGAATATATATAAATTGTATACTTTGGTGGCCTTTTGAGAAACAGAAACATTATCTATCACTTAAATTATCCTTAAAATGAAGTCAACAGGCCAGACTGGCTAAATCATGAACTCCTATTATTCTGAGAAATATGAGAATTTTCATATCAATTATTGGAGTAGAAAATGGCAGGCTAATTTCATTAGGGCATATCCAGGGTGCAAATATTTAAAAATACCATTATTAAGAAATGAAATATGGAGCAGTTGATACTACCTAGGCAAAACAGAAGGGGAATGGAGAAGTAAAATGGGCCAAGGGTCTGTTATCTACCAGGTATATTACCTACCCTTGTGCTTTTTACATATATTAATTATGTGCAATGTATATCACCTTAATATATATATAATTAATTATATGGAATTGCCATTTTTCTAGGCCCTGAATGACCAAACACTGAAAATTTGACATGTTTCAACCTGATACATTATCTTAGATAACTTCCAAACCAGCTCTAAGATGTTGACACTGCCACTCCCATTTACAAAGGGCGGGGGGATAGGGTTCAAAAATATTAAACAGTTGGATGTTTTCCCCACAGTATTTCCCTGTATTTTGCCTCTGGTGTTGAAAGTCTCTGGACTCTAGGAGATCTTGGCAAATAAAGTCCATTATCTGGCTCTTGAGATGTGACCTCCTCCTGGAGATTTTTCTCACCTCTGTCTGCACCATGGCTGGTCGTTGTGTTCTTAACATTTTGACAGTCTGGAAGATATCTACTACTCCTTCATATCTCATTCTTTCCAAAACAATGCTTAGTGTTATGAAGACTCCAGTTCTTCCAACGCCCGCACTGTCATAATAACAAAGGCAATATTACTAGATGAGACACGCACAGTCATGGCTACATTTTCCTGGAGGTGGACATATGTCCACCAGCTTCCATATTACATTAGAATCTTCTACAGCAACGTTCCAGAAAATGTGCTGTTGGGTTCACAAAATGATTAACTCTTAGGACAGTGTGCCATGATAACAGTGACAATGAATATAGAGTAACTGATTTTTTCAAACAGGGATTATATATCACTGTGGAAAGACCCAGGGAACATAAAAATATAAAGTAATTTGACTAAAGGAAGGGTGAATAAAATATAGATTTACACTCTTCATCAGATCCTGATATTTGGGCCTTGCCTGCTTAATATTTTTAAGCTATGAAATAATTCAGATAAGGTGAGACAAAAAGAGGTACTATAGCAGGATTTTCTGACACAGGATCTTCATAAGACTTCATTTAGTTTTCATAAGGGTCTATGAATATTTTTTACCTATGGATTTGTAAATGTATATATATATTTTCTGTTTCTAAAACTTATAACTTTAGCAGATTATTAAATGTGTCTCTAAACTTAAAAAAATGTTTGTTAAGAGCCACTGAGCTATGTACATACACTTATCTACTATTTTTAGATGTTCAGTAGCTAAATATCAGGATTATTTCCACCATGTTAGCAAGGTTTTGGGTTTCTGTTTTCTTTATTGTTTTAAGATAATTCCAGAATTGTAATTGTAGCAAGAGAAGAAAATGAATTCATAGCTTTTGTGCTCTTAAGAAGTAGGAAAGCATCTGGAGGTTTAGGTAATGAGGGGAAGAGTGAATAATCTGAAAAATCCCTACGTTTTTGGATCCTAATTAAACAGAATGTGTAACGCTTGGGTACAGGCTGTAGAAAATGGATGGATTCATTTACTTGGGGATGTAATTGATATATAAATAGTGTGTCCTTTTATAAACTGTGTTTTTTCTGAAGAGTCCTAACATAAATGTAAATCCACAGGCAGGTTTTACACAGTGGCTAAGCATATCCAGGGGCAGACAAGGCTCTCTGTCAAGATGGAGTAGATGACCTTCAGGGTCGCTTTCAACCTTGAAAGTCTCTCTTTATCCCAACAGACTGTGATTTATGATCTTTTCGTTGCATGATTCAAGTACTCCAGAATCTATTTTACCTTGATTTCATTGTTCAAATGTTACAAAAATACAGGGCTTCTGACTTTCCATTTGGTGCTTTCAAGAAAATAACAGACACTAGCCTTATAACTTCTGAATTTATTGACTTTGTCATGTTATTAATAAGCTATAAATAAAATAAGTGGTATTTTACAAATACTCTCAGATAAAAGGAAATATCTAGAGGTCTTTAAGATATGTGAATAACACATCATGGTTTTTTATTAAAGGAGTCTTTGTATATATTCTTTATCCAAATAATTTTGTGACAAAGGCAATGAAAAGGAACATGAATATACACACTTATTTATACTTACGGGAATGCCTATAGTTAAAGAAAAATGTGTTAAATATATTCTTTTCTTTATAGTTTATATTAGAAAATTTGAATTAGGATTTTGGTAAATTATGTGGAAAATTAAGGGGAGTATCCAGGTAATTCAAGTCCAGTGTATACCATCCACTTTGTCTGAATGCTGAGTCCATGCATCATTTCCTACATGCTGATTGGTTGTCTAGAGCACAGGATTCTGGGTAAACTCAACACATAGCAAATACGTATAAATGAGGTCTGCTTCTCTTGTAATATGCCATGTCTGGGAAACGTAGTGTGCTAGAAAGGGTCACAGAGATCAGTTAGAAAACTGAGGTTAAGAGAAGTTTCCCTTTTGTCACAGAGCTATTACATGATGACAGAAGTGGGACTAAAGCTCAGGTATTTTGAAGCCCATGTTTTAACACACTATCACCCTTATCACTAAGAACTGTAGTTTGGGATTTGGGGCAGGGGGAAAGCAAGTAAATTTTTTAATAAAGTCTTTCAAGATTTTGACTATAAATAATTACAAACTAAGACTTTTTTAAAAAAATGAGTTAATTCCTTTTGTTAGAAGGTTTTTGCATAGTAACTTCCAAAAGCACTACATTTATTGCAAGTGTCCTTTCTGAACCATTTACTTGCTATTTCTATTAACTTCAATGATTTGAATTATAAAATGCTGCGGAAACTATTGAAAATAATTAACTTGAAGGTGCTTAATTTTCTGATATAGCAACAATTTTCAAGCACATTGCAATGTTAACTGAGGTGCCATTCTAATCACTTATTGACTTGACAAAAAAATTAGTATTATCATTAAGGCTTAATAACTATTTATGGTTTTCTCAAGAAGATAAACACAGGAGAAAGATACAGAAAGTTATCAGGGTAATGCTATGAAAGCAAAAAAGCTAAGGAATGATAAACTGAACAAATTATCACTCAGGGATATACCAATAATTCCTGATACGGTAAAACAGGCAAGGATAAACACAGTTTGGTTCTTTGCTACAAGAGGTAAAATTTGAAGATAGAAATCTTCCTTGATTATTTTCACTTTGTGGAAAGAAAGAGAAATGAGTCTTTGCTTTAGGGTTTACAATACATTTCTGAGAAAAATAAAATCTCAATTATGCAGACTCACAGAAAACTGGTACCAAGAATGAACAGACAACAGTGCATATTTTCAAAGTTATCACTGCATTAAGCACAAATGGAAACTCATCATTCCTGATCCTTAACTCACCTGCAATGGACTGAAATGGGTCCATCTTGGCCAAACTGCTCTTTTGTTTTATGGACTTGGCCAATGAAGTCAATAAATCCTTCTCCAGACTTTGGCACTCCCTGCTCTGGCCAGTCAGTGAACTGGAACTGCCTCACGGTTCGGGACTGCCCGTCCTTCAGAAAGAAAGCCACATGCCCGACCACAGAGGAGGAGGCCAGGGGGATTCAGCCAGTGCACAGAACATTACAGCAGGCAGGATTTTTTCCCAAAAAAAGGAAGAAAAAGTTAGAAACATGTTTAACTAGAAAATCAGTCACGTTCATATCTTACCTGCTATTAACACTGTCTACATTTCACATCTAAATTGCAAATTGATTTACTCTCACAATGCCCAGTTAAAAACCAGAATTCTCAAAAAGAGCCACCTCATTCTCATATTAGGAAATGAGTCTGAGTCCCAGAGATTGTCTTCAAAACCAAAGGGGAACATATACATTCCATTTCAAAATTTTCAGAATCCAGTAACCTCTTAATACTAACAGGAACATCCAGGCATGTCACCCAGACCAGAGATTTTGCTATTGTCATGACACCGTCACATCTGCTGTGCTTGCTTATTTGCAGCATTGTCAGATGACAAATAGTGACACTGAAAGGATCTGACACAAATTGGGAAGCGGCTGTTAACCTGGATGCCCCACGTCTCAGAGGTATACTATTTCTAGCCAAGGCAGTATACACTGCCTGTACCAGGTGACTATGCTGTTGAGCAGGAAGTGAGGCGTCCTTCAAGGAGATAGGAGAGATTATTAATAAATAAATGCTGTGTTCTGAAAAAGGACTCTTTCTGGCTGACCACAGAAGCTGAGGTGTCCATGCGTGGCTTTAACACAGACAAACCAAAAGCCAGATGCAGAAGCAATCTTTCTTTCAAGTGATTAGGCAGAACTACTCTGAAGTATAAATGGCTTCAAAAGAAAATACTAAGAGACTTTGGATTCATTCTGGAATTTTATAGTGTTTGGAAGGACAACAAAAGCAGAAGGGACTCTGTTTATAGAAGCAGGAATAACAACTATCACCATCAACTTTCTTCCCTGAATTACAGAGACAGGGATAATCCAAATTCCAATTTCAGATGGGTGGATCCCATTTGAGGAGGCCCTGTTCCTAGTTAAGGCCTCAATGTGGTACTTCTTTCCACTTCTTTAATAACTCTCTCCTCATTAAAGTCCTTTTTGATACAGATATTCATGTTCCCAAGATTCTGAGTAAGTAGCATGTATACTAAGTTGTTTTTAGTCATGTCTGACTTTTTGCAACCCCATGGACCATACTCCGTCAGGCTCCTCTGTCCATGAAATTTTCCAGGCAAGAATACAGGAGTGGGCTGCCATTTCCTCCTTCAGGGGATCTTCCTGACCAAGGGATTGAACCTATGTCTCTTATGTTTCCTGCATTGGCAGGTGGGTTCTTTACCACTAGCGCCACCTGAGAAGCCCTCTGAGTAAGTAAACAGAGACTCAATCTTTCTCATTGAGTTGTATGGAGAAGAGGGCATGGCCCAACTCAAGCTGGACACACATCACCAAGTCTGGTGGTTTCCATAGGAACAGGGCATATTCCTGACTGGCATCATTTGGGAATTGAGATAAAACAGGTAGATCACATCAACTTTGTGAGAATACTGAGGAATATAAAAATAACTGCTTGGCCCCATAACTAACTTATGGATTGTTACTACGGAAGCATGATTTACTTCTCTCGGTTTCTGAAAAGGGTTTGAAAAGCACAGGAAGGGAAGCCAGTGGCTAGGTAATACAGCTTTGTCTTCTCTGACTGTCCTGGTGATTTCATTTCTGACCACAGTTGCTTTTAACAGCAAGAAGAGGTCATGTGTACAAACCTTTATGATTTGGGAAGAGAGACCCCCTGATTGCATTTAAAGGCTACCTGTTTAACAACACTGTATTCTCAAGTGCCAGCTTGCTTTTTAAACTGGAAAGTTGAGATTAGACACACCTTAGGAGCACAAATAGCACATGCTACGGCAGCTAAAAAAATTATACAATCACAGGGATCCTTCAAAACAAAACATGTGAACAAGTTCCTCCTTCAATGTTTCTTTTACTTATCATGGTCAGATTTAATCTGGGCAGTCGAGGAGTAATAAAGAAGTTGTCTCTGCCATTTGTGGTGCCTGGGATGCTGCTATACTTCGTCGTCAGAAATGGTTGGTGTGTTTGCTTGGAATGCACTCAAAATTTTCACTCAGATATCTAGCTTCAAACTCTGAAAGGGTGTTCTTTTTTTTTTTTTTTAAAACACAAGGTCATCAAGGCATGCTTGCTTGGGCAACTCAAAACGAGACCTAGGGGCTTAACTACTGTCTTGAGTATAGTCGCCTTCAGAGTAGTTAAGACTTCAGACTTTCTAGGATTAACAGGTCTGTCACCTGAGCCAAGCAGCCTGCTAACCAATTTCTCTTTCACTTTAGGTCAACAGCCAGGGCCAGGTTTTGGGGATTAGTGGACAATCTCTAAACATGAGTCTTGGTTGAGAAAGCTGCTTTCCAGAAAAAAACAATGGATCAAGTAAATAGTTCTACCCTACAGTTTTATTCAACCCACCCACTGTGACAGTTCCAAAAACAAAGCAGGGCTTTGCACTGACCCAATCTCTCCTAAGATGTGTTTGTAATCATGGTTTAAAAGTGGCCAAAGGCAAGGATTTTAAAGTTTATGCATAGAACATCTTACATCAGGGCTGAACTTTGGACTCAGCAATCTAGATCAGAAACGCAGGATGAAAATTAGCCAAGAAGGGTCGTGGGTGCACAGCTCTCATGGACAGACACATTAGCACACGGAGGAATAAACCATGCCAGGAATCAAATTAGAATGTGCAAAGCTTGTCAGATTCTTCTAAAGAATGTCATTTGCTCTGCAGTTTTAAAATCATACCAAATTAACCTCCAAGCCCACATGACCTAAAGGGCTTAGCAAAACAACATATTTACAGCCTCAAGTAATGAAGAAGTCAAAAAAGCTCCAAAGAGAATGAGCTAAGAAGGTGAATGTAAGCGCAGCCAACCAATCAGTAAATGCTTCCCGGCACACACACTCACCAAGCGCGTCCCCAAAGTTGGGCTGCCAGATGTTATCTTTGAATGTGAGCCAAGCCTGGGTTTGTGAGAAAACTTGCCAAACAGGCAAAGTTACTCTTATATTTGAAAAAAACAAAAACCAGTTCTCCAAGATGGGTGATTTCTTTTAGTTTGGGAGTATGGTCACTTGGCAAATGTTTTCTCCCAGAGATGTCTTTTAGACTATATTTCAGCTAATGTTTAAGAGCATAAGACTGTGCCAACTTACCCTGGCATCTGTGACCTTGAATTCTCTTAGGATATATTGTGGCATGTTGTACTCAGCCATGGGATCAACAACAAAGTACTGGTATCTTGCAGATCGTTCTGCTGGCCAGTACTGGTGACATTTCTCCTAAGAAAAATGAAGATTAATGACGAGCTATGTAAAGTGTAAACAGAGTTTTGTTTATCATCCGTCTATATATTTAATGTCTTTCTTTCTTTCTAATACCATTTTAGAATTTAAGACCATTCCATTGCGTGTGACTCATCTTCTCTTTGAAAGCATAGGCTCCCTCAGGATAGGAAAATTGTGTGGGTCACTATTTGCTCATGGGACCAAGCAGAGTACTTGGCATACAGTAGATGCCTAATACACATTAGTTGAACTGGCTACTTCAATAGGGTGGGCATCTTCATACTTAATTTAGACAAATAATTACATCAGTCCTTGGGCATAATGCCATGTCAATCATGTATTGACATTCACCACTGTGGTTTTGAATGAAGACAACCATCAAGTGTGAACACAGAAAGAAACCTCTGAATTGAATTTGTCCAATCTCCTTCGTCAGCTGAGGAACCTGGAGCCCAAGCACTTTTAGTGACTTCAGTAACCAAATCAGAAAAGTCAAGTTTCTTTCCCAGTTTGGTATTTTTTCATTCTCTTTCTGGGCTCTAGAATTTGGGTTTTAGGTACATCTCTACCATTGAATTTATATAAAGACAAGGAAAAAAAAAAGCCTCTTAAGCAAATATGGCAGAGTACTTGTAGCTGCTGAATCTAAGTGGCTCTCATACTATTATGAATTAGGTGGCTCTAATCCTATTTCATGGTATTTTTCAGAATAACTTTTTTTTTTTTTAAGTAGAGCAGAGATTACCAGATTTATTCATAGACAAACTATGTAACTTTCTGATAGTTTAATCAGAGTGGAAGATAAACAAGCAACAATTTGCCTCAGAGATGACAGAAAGTCAAATTCCTTCATACAGAGTAATGATGGCACATAAGCTATAGCTTGTCCAGAGCAAAAGGCAGTAAGGCTACATTGAGAATCAGAACAAGTCAGCAATATTAGTCTCTATGATGGTGCTACACTGGAAATAAAGTACCTGCTTTCTCTTCAAAACACAAAAATGAAAGAACCTGATGTGGCTTTGCAAGTTAAAAACCAACATACAGTAATGAATGACCCACAACATGACTGGAGTAGTCAACGTTTCAAAGAAACAACATTAGCACTGGGGTTTTTTCAATGAAATCCTCATTTCTTTGTGGAGTGAATGTCTTATGTGAAGATACTCACTCTACCCATCTCACGCAGCTTGGTGAGCATCACAACAATGGTGGAATTGTGTTCCCAGAGCATCCGCCAGAAGTCTTCAGTGGTCTCTGCCAAGGGCCCCTGGGTAGCGATGTAAGCTTTCTGCTGTCTGAATCACAGATAGCACGTTAAAGTAATCAGAAAATATGCAAAGGCTTCACATTTGATATGTAAATATCAAATCCAGGTAATAAAAATGAAAATATTATTAATGCTATTGCAGTAAATTCCCATTAAGATTATGTAATCAAATAGGAACATTTAAGACATTTTAGGGATTTTGCAAAAGAAATTGCTTTGTTAATATTATGATGTATGTCTTTATCATTGTTATTTAAACTTTAGAGCAATGCTAATAGCTCAATTTCATGTGTCATATAAATCGCTTAAGAAACAGTTGTGCAGCTTCATTTTGTAGAAATGATTCATACAATCTATGACATTTATATAATTTGGTTCAAAACAATTTCTATATTAACTCCTTCCATATCCAAATGGCTTCTGAAAGAAGAGTGCAGATTATAAATTCCATGATTGCTTCTTCTTACTCCTATCCAAAATAACAAAAAATGAATATCAAGGGACTGAACGCTGACCTATGCAGAAAGAAAACATTTTAAATTGAGATGAAATTCATTTTGGCTATGAAACTAGGGCACATATAAATACCAAGACTTTGGGCTGTCAGGGGGAGCAAGAGTATATACCTGTATCCATCAATAAAACTGGCATTGATGTAATCAGATCCTTCTACTCCTCGGATAGGCTGCAGGCACACCCTTGTGGATTCATATGGCATAATATTAACAAGGCGATTTTTGAATTTATTACATGGAAGATTGGCACTGATGAATCTTGAGGTGTGAGCTTTAGAACTGGCTAGACGCTGTTGAACGTAAAAAGAAAAAAAAATCCAACAAAGATAATTTTAGCCTGTGGTGTAACTGCAGTGAACCCAAGATTTTCTCTTTAGATACAAAGATTCTGTTTACTTTTAACCCAGTGACTCTACCTAATGACTCCATATAGACTAAGGGAGTTTTAAATATTATGTTCTAAGAATATGCTCTCTCAATTTAAATTAGGGTGAAAAGAGCTCAAGGTATTATGAGGAAGCAAAGAATAGAAAAGGGAAGGATGAAGAAAGTGTTTTATAGTCAGACATCTGAGGGAGAAGGTCAAGTGAATCTTGTAACTTCACCCATTTGAAAGGTTAAGAAAGACAATTCCAGAATGACTTGCTTCTGAATTACCACATCACATCCAATATCATACCTTAAATTCGAGCTCCATTCCTGTGACATTCTCTCCTGTTTCTATTTGTGTCAGCTTCTGAATGTAGGCATACAAGTTTCTAGCTGGCACTTCGGTATTTCCACAAGTCACTGCCTCCAACAGTGCATCATGGATAAAGATGTATTGGTCTTCTGTTTGAACCATGTAATTCCTCTGGGCTCTCATTAAAGTTACATGGCCATAAATATCTACAGTTTTTTCATGCTTTATTCTTTCTAACATGGCATCTATTACAATGAAACACCCAGTCCGGCCAACTCCCGCGCTACAAGGAAAACAAAAAGAAAAAAAAAAAAAGAGAGAGAGAGAGAGAAAAGTACAAATGAATCTATTGGGAAACCAACACATCATAAAATTATTTTGATTATTTTTAATTAACTAGATTTTAAACCCAGTAATTCTACTCAAATAGCTACTGTGATGGTTTTGGAGTATTCCAAACCAAAGGGCAGGGAACAAATTAACAAGTAAAATTTCACTGGTTTCAAAATATAAAAATATTAAATCTTTAATTACTATGCTCTTTGATCATGTAACACAAAGTAGTATTTTGAAATCATTATGAAAAATTTACATTTACGTTTTTACATTAAAGGTATTTAAAAAAAAACTGGTCAAGATCGAACTAGACTTTATCTTTTATAAACCATTTCAGTCTATTTTAGTTCAATTTATAAAAAAGGAAAAAACAAAACTAGTAAATCATTCAACTTGAAACATTTTATAATCTAAAACTCAGCAAGAAAGTTTTAAAACCAACCTAGTGAGAAGTATATAATTAAAATATTAACATGTTGTTGCATACTCAAAATAGCTAGTGTATTCTTGATGGAAAGACATTCTTAACAAAAAGCAATCACTAGAGGGTCTGGGTGTGTTTCTTGCTTTTACTCCTTTTTCTTCCAGAGTTGAATGTATTTTGGAATTTCAGGTTAAATTCAAGTATTCTTGTGTGGGAAAATAAAAGCTTCAATCTTTGTTACTGGAGAAGCTCTGAGGCATTTTTTTAAACTCTATTACTCTTGGACTTATGGGTTGTTTTCCAGTTGGTGGAAACCGATTCAAAGAAGAGGAGGTGAAAGATCAAACAACGCACAGTGACAAGTTCTGATGCTCCAAGGAGACGATCTAATTCACTGAACTAAATTACAGAGTCAGATGGTTGGAACACTGGAGTTTCCTTGAGTGTGGGAAAGAATACTAACAAAATAACACATCTGTGTTCTGAAATCCAAGGTAAGCCTTTTCTTGTCTCTGTGTCAAGTATGGCTGAATCCAAAATGTTTTTCTTCCAATTGTGGAAGAACCATGGCTAGGAAACATGTAATCAATGGAAATATAAGTATATATCAGCACCTTAGACACCAGGTAACAGACAACCTCCTTCATTCACTATGTGTCACTGTTTCCCGTCTTTTCTATTTCTTTGTGCTCATTTGTCTATCCATGCATTGATATATCCATCTCTTCATTCAGTGAGCAGTGCAGTACTCTGATAACTAACATATGAGATACAACATTAAAGGTGACTTGTATCCCACCTAGAGCTCATACTATCGATAGAGATAAAACTTTATATAACTATTTACAACACAAGAAAAAAAAAAAGACATGCTGGTTTGTGGTTAATGTGTCATTTGAACCTGGTGTTGAAGGACAGCAAGGATTCGCGGAACTGCGGAGGCTAGAATAACAGAAGAAACAGAACGGCTTTTGCAGTCATACTACTGACTCTGGGAGCTGCACGTAAAATTTTCATAGACCTAGTGAAGCTCCAGTGTATGGAATGTACCAAACTTCATATAATTGAGCTTAATGAGCAAAAGGGCATGTGATTGAATTGCCAAGCGGCTGCAAGTAAGTGAGCATTTTGTAACATATATTATGTTTATTTAACTGCTGAGCAGTATAGATTGAACCCAGCCTCCTGGGTTTGTAGGAGTCCTGTGGTTTGTACACTAACAAACAGTTGGAAATAGGGTATAACCACTATTTAAAAAATTATTTACTTTTTTATGTCCTGTTACACATAGAAACTTTCAGTGTTACAGAGCCTCTGGATACTGACTCTAAGACACTCCATTCAGAGTTTAAACCACAAAGTGACACGACATCGAGATGTAATACAAACGCCTTCTGGGACAGAGTCTGAGACATGATAGCACATTTCTTAGCACAGAATAATCAGAAACCTGATGCACTGAGATCCATGAAGTTCCATTTTATTTAGTTAGTTTTACCAAAGAAACCAGTAAGATGGTGTTTACCATCACACCCCACCGTGTCCCTCCTCCATGCCCTAGGCAGGATTACAACCACTCTCTGTCCTGGATGACTTGGTGTCTTCAATACCACCCTGCAGTCTAAAAGTCACACTGTGTTATTAATGAGTCTGGGAGGGCCACTGCCCATAAATAATGAGCATATCTTGAGAGCAGGAACAACATTTTCTGTTATCTTTCTCTGCTCTGCACCAAGCATGCAGTCAATGTACCGTAATATGTGTGGAAAAGTGAATGAATTAGTGATTGGCATGAGAGGCCTTGTGTAATGAGCAGCCCACCCAGGTTGGGTAATAAGACCCCTCAGTCAGCGAAAGAAATCCTACATTTGACACAGGTTCAGAACTATGCAAAGAATACCTGAAGACTATTTCACAAAGTGTCTGATAGGGAAGAGGGAGACAGGAAAAGGCTTTGAGTGGTTTTCCACATCTTGGTCTCCTGATGAGCCATGGCATTGCAATGAAAAGAAACTAGGTAAGACTTAGCCTGGAAAAGGGAGGCAGCCCCTCTTGTTTGGTAGGTCCTAAGGTTAAGTAAATCTTTTCCTTTTCCTTGTGTTGTCTCTCTAAACTGTTTTCATCCTAATTGTGCATTGCTTCTAACTAGATACAATATCATCCAGTTCTTCCTAATGGAAGCTATACTGTAAGCCATATAACTGTAACGATGTATCAAGTCAAATTGAGACAAGGACAGGAATATTTTCTCCAAGTATGCATCAGAGGCCATTCCTAATCTTTGAATGATGCATGGTTCTGTATTCTGGCAGAAAGATACTAGAGAATCCTACAAAACTGGTATGGATAACTCCAGATCCTAACAATTTCAACCTCTTCATGGTGGTAACGATGCATTTTAAAAAAAAAAATGAAGAGGGAGAATAATAAAACATGTGTCTGTGTCTAACTCTTGAATTGTGGGAAGAAAACAAAACAGGAACAGAGGCTCTGACTTGCGCAAAACCTATTTTTTCTCCTCTGAACAGAAAATATTGTTGTTTCTTTTTTTCATTTATTTTTATTAGTTGGAGGCTAATTACTTTACAATATTGTAGTGGTTTTTGCCATACATTGACATGAATCAGCCATGGATTTACATGTGTTCCCCATCCTGAACCCCCTTCCCACATCCCTCCCCATCTCCTCCCTCTGGGTCTTCCCAGTGCACCAGCCCTGAGCACTTGTCTCATGCATCCAACCTGGGCTGGTGATCTGTTTCACACTTGATAATATACATATTTCAATACTATTCTCTCAGATCATCCCACCCTCGCCTTCTCCCACAGAGTCCAAAAGTCTGTTTTATACATCTGTGTCTCTTTTTCTGTCTTGCATATAGGGTTATTGTTACCATCTTTCTAAATTCCATATATATGCATTAGTATACTTTATTGGTGTTTATCTTTCTGGCTTAATTCGCTCTGTATAATGGGCTCCAGTTTCATCAAAACCACAATGAGGTACCATTACATGCCAATCAGAATGACTGCTATCCAAAAGTCTTGTTACAAGCAATAAATGCTGGAGAGGGTGTGGAGAAAAGGGAACCCTCTTACACTGTTGGTGGGAATGCAAACTAGTACAGCCACTATGGAGAACAGTGTGGAGATTCCTTAAAAAACTGGAAATAGAACTGCCATATGACCCAGCAATCCCACTCCTGGACATACACACCGAGGAAACCAGATCTGAAAGAGACACGTGCACCCCAATGTTCATCACAGCACTGTTTATAATAGCCAGGACATGGAAGCAACCTAGATGCCCATCAGCAGACGAATGGATGAGAAAGCTATGGTATATATACACCATGGAATATTACTTGGTCATTAAAAAGAATACATCTGAATCAGTTCTAATGAGATGTATGAAACTGGAGCCCATTATACAGAGTGAAATAAGCCAGAAAATATTGTTAACAGCCCAATCTTGCTGTTCATATGGAAGAGAGGAAGAAAGTGCTCCCTGGAACTTAACATGTTACCTCTTTTCAAAGATGAAGATTTCTTGGAGGTTTTAAATGTTGGAGGTGTCTCTTAGCTTTAAGCAAGACCATGAAGTTCAAAATACTTTGTCTAGAAACCAGTGATTGAGTGTCTTTGAGAAAGTCACTTAACCTCTCTTGGGTTTTCTGCTGTTCTAATGTTAATTAACTTGTTAATAATCTAGTAAGTTTTAAGACTGGTTTAAACATACAGAGTGCTTTGCAAACATTAAAGGAAGATGCAGTTGCTTTGTAGGTAGAAATTCCATTTAAAGATTCTACCTCTGAAACTGACAACAAGAAACAGGCAATGTTAATACCAGGAAATTTTTTATAGAATCACCACAGGATCATTTGAGGTTAGGCTTTCAAAATCTTGCTTTAAACTACTCCCTCATGCTGTTCTTCCTTTTCTCCCCATATTTCGAATAATAATACCTTATGTTTGAGGAAGTTTGTGCTTTCACATTGATTCTCAAGGTAAATGAGATGGCAGTGAAGGGCCTTCTTACCACAGTGCTGGGTATCCTGGAGGCATTCAACATTATCTGTCAGTTTCCTCTCCCTTTCAGTGATTCACAACATTTAGGAACTTCTTTGAAGTCACAGAGCTAATGGTAAATAGCCAAATAAGGATTCAAATGCAGGTTCTGAGATGCTGAGTTTTATCACTACATTTCAATAGGGCATCACCATTTCTGCCATCTGGGTCAAAGACGGATACTTTCTTCTGACTTAAACCTCTGCCTAAAGGAGATCAGTCCCGGGTGTTCATTGGAAGGACTGATGCTGAAACTGAAACTCCCATACTTTGGCCACCTCATGCGAAGAGTTGACTCATTGGAAAAGAACCTGATGCTGGGAGGGGTTGGGGGCAGGAGGAGAAGGGGACGACAGAGGATGAGATGGCTGGATGGCATCACTGACTCGATGGGCATGAGTTTGAGTAAACTCCAGGAGTTGGTGATGGACAGGGAGGCCTGGCGTGCTGTGATTC